CAAAAATGTTTTACGGCTACGTGAGGAACAAGGCTACCATCTGGTTCTCCCCTTCACTCTCTCCCCCTTTCTCTTTCTCTCTTGTGAGCATATTGACAGTGGGATTGGGGATTGGGGATTGTGGCATACGCATGCAAAATACAAAGCCAAACAAAATATTCACTTGGCGAATTGACTGAGGAACCTCTCCCCTTCCTTCCCCTTCTCCACTTCTATTTTCACCACACGCTCCTCTCGATTTCTTCGCTTCTGTTTGTTGACATTTTCCGGCTCTTTTGTTTCCCATTCGAAGGATAGAGAGAGGGCAAGCGAGGGGGGATTCATGTGGCATTGGGTCACGTCCTACCTCATCGATGAGGATGATGATGATGGGGATGATGGGGATGATGGGGATGATGATGATGTGGAGGTCGTCTGTGGAATGTCCGAGAAATGCGTGGATTGAACTGCCAAATGCTTGGAGACAATTACTCAGCGCCTAAATAGGAAGAGAGAATCCAGCAGAGAGCATAGAGCATAGAGAGAATCCCGAATGAGACCAAATAAATGCTCTCCAATTCACTTTGTCCTCTGCTCCATCTCGCTGGCGAAAAAAAGGGAATTTGGGGAATATTTTCATGAATCTTTAAACATTTTTCACATGCAAATTTACATTTTAGTTCCAAAGTGGGCAAAAGCTTCGGCGACAGTCGCGGAAATTAAAGAGAAAATCCTGCATAGTGGAAACTGCGGGGGCAGCCCACAAAATATGTGGATTAGAAATGGGAGACAAAATCTCTTGCAGATAGAAATTTAGTGGCAGTTCCCCTACCCCCTGCTACCACCACTACCCTGCTCAGTTATATTTTCGAGTGAAATAATCGATAGCAACGCGAGACAAACAAAAGTCCCCGCGGCAATGTGAGGCAAGGCTGAGAGACAGCGAGAATTGTGACAGGATATTGTCTGAATCGCATTGGGAAAGCGCGGAAGCGCGGAAAACCGATGGGAAAAGTTGCCAAAAATGCCAGAAACGAAAGCCGAGCAGCGGCAACGAAATTGATAAAAATTTGAAAGGCCTGCGGCAGTCGAAGACAGTGAAGGGGAAGGAGCAGGAGGAGGAGGCTCTTCTCCTTCCTCCCATTTGCCTCTGACAATTTCCATTGAATGTCAATGCAGCCACGCCCCTCTAACCGTATCCATATCAGCCGCCCACATTGTTTGCCCATATAATTTGGCGATTAAATAGTTCTGGGGAATATATCATGAGGCGGCGGACACACATTTCCCATTTGGCGGTCACTGCAGCATTTCTCAATTATTTACCGATGGCCACAAATGAAATGCGGACTTCCTCCTCCCACCTCCCTCCGCCAGTCCCTTCTCCACTAGTATTTCGGTTGGTTTTTGGTATTTCCCAATTAATTTGGAAATTGTTTTCCCATTGGGGGGTCTCCCTTTTAGCTCCGTTTGCTGCTGCTCCTTTTTAGTTTTGGCTCTGGTTAAATGTCGTTTATAATTGGCAGTAAATCGCTTTTTGATTGTTTAGAATTTACATTCGGCTTACCCACTCCATAGAGATGAATGATCTTGGGTGGGCTGGAAACCACAGAGGGAAGGGAGAGAGAAGAGAGGTCACATACATTAAAGTTGGTTACCTTTGCCCCATTCCCTTACTGGATGATATCTATGGCTGATTGTTTGGCCATCATTATTTATTTATGCAATGAATATTCCCCCAAATACCCCTCACTCTTCCACCCATACCCTTACCCCTCCTCTGTTCACTGTTTCCAGACATTTAACTTTTGTCTTCTGCCCAATTACAAATTCATAGACCCAAAAGTTGATTGCTCTGAGGCAGCCGCAGACAGACACAGTGCCTCTCCCCTTCCCCTTCCCATTCCTATACTTTCACACCTGTTCTACCTCTATCTCCCCTCCCTGCTGTGCCGCTCCTCTTCACCATGAATAATTCGGGGACAGTGGAATGCCTTGTCCGCTCTCCGCTGTCTGCTCTCCGCTGACAAATTGTTGGGCTCGTTAAATGTTGGCCACAAAACTTGCAACGAATTATGTAAATTTGAATGGAACGATCCTGAAGATCCTTGTAGTAATATTTCCACTCAAAGTACTCCTCCTCCCCCCCTTACCCGCAGATGTCTCGGAAGGGTGGGGAGACGGGAAGCTGAAGACAGACATTAATTCCATTTGAGTTGTATCCTTGGCTTCCTGTTATCCTTGGGTTCCGCCCACATAAATAATTTTTAATGATGTGAAAATGTTTTGCCAAGCACTTTTCCTATAATTAATGGCAACTTCCCAGGGGAACGAGGAGGAGGAGGAGCTGCAGGCAGCCCCAAGGAAAGCCGCAAAACAAATTAAATTGGAAGGTGAGGGCCGACATGTGGCGGCAGCTCTAGCCGGAAGCGGAAGGAGAAACATACCTCGGGAATCCACAGGCACTTCCCAGAATCCCCTCTCGTCTCTCTTACTCTCTCTCTCTCTCTCTCTCCTCCTGCCATGACCATGTTGCTCGATTCCTTGACGCCAATTCAATCAGAGTCCCCGATTCGGTATTTCCTGATTTCCCATCCCCCTCCGCCCCCTCCGCACTCATCGTCGTCTGCTTGTCACTTCTTAAATTTTCTTTGACATTTTCCCATTTGCTTTCGCCCTGCAATTTATATTTAGAAATAATTTCCGTTGCACTTTGTGCCCATTGCCCTCCCCTGTCCCGTCATCTGCACAATGGATGGACAGGAGAGCGAGAGCAGAGGAAAGGAGAAACTCTCCGAAGAGCAATGTGCATTCATTTGTACTCGGGAGAACTCGGAAGAGAAAGCAGGCAAAAGTTTTCTTTGTCCGCGAGCAGAATTTAATGCAATTGAAATGGGAATTCCAGCTCGGGAAAGTTCTCAAAGCAAAGGGAAGATGGAGAGCAAAGGGATCGCCCCTCGCCACCGCCCTTCTTGGACCTTGAACTTGATGGAAACCACACACTAAATCCCTTCCTGCACTGGGATAATTCCTCAGCAAAACGGCAAAGAGGATTCCAAGTTGGAGTCACTCCAGAGCCACAGCCACAGCCCCAACTCTGGTGGGGCAGGCATCCCCCAAAGAGCCAAACACCGCAGTGCAGTTCGTGTCCGAGTCCTGTTTCACGGCAGCTGCGAAGCGAAGGAGGAGCCGCAGGTGGAGCTAGTGGTGGCACCTGCACATAGGTAAATTTGTCCAGCAGCGAACTAAATTCCAAACGGAAGTGACACTCTAATTGAGAGCAACGAGCCAGCTGGGAGATGTCCGGCTGGAGAGGGGAAAAAGAGGTGGGGCAGGAGAGCTGGGAGAGGAGCGCGGAGAGCAGGACATGTCCACTTCATGCGGGTTCTGGGAGCAGCACTAAAAAAAGTAAACTCGTTAATTGCTAAGTGCAAAACCATAAAACGGATGTGGAGCAGTGGAAGAGATCTTGGCTGGGGAGCAGGATGGGGAGCAGGATGGGGAGCAGGATGGAGATTGGTTTGTTGGTTCCGCAATCAGTTGGCAGAGGGGTGGAGAGTGGTGAGTGGTGAGGGGAACTATAATGCGGGTCTGGAGTCGGACTCTGCCGAGTGCCGCAGAATTAAATAAATTTAATTGAGGAATTTGCAGTGCAGAATGATTTAATGAGTGAAATTAGTTATCCTTTGGGGTGGGAGATCCAATCCATGTCCCTTTCATCGAGTATATCATATTTTATTTCGATGGATATCTTCTGTGGCGTCTCATTTCACATTCAACTGATTTGCATAGCCTTCCAAGGGGATTTCCCACAGAGGTTCAGTGGCAGCCTCACCTTCGAGGCGTTCTCCTTCCTTCTTCTGCTTCGACAAATCTGTGCTCGCATTTCCTTCGCCAGTCATCGACTGGGGAACATTTTCCACAGAAACGAAGAATAAGACGGGAAATGCGTTGCACACTCGTATTTATGAATAATTCAGCAGAGGGACATCCGACGACCCTTTCCTCCTTCCTCCTTCCTTCTGATTTTCCTATTTGTTTACCACAAATTGTCAAAATGTTGCCGGAATGACACTGGCAGCACGTGTAAGCCCCCCAGCCCTTCCCTCTCTCTCTCTCTGTCCTTCTCCGACCCATTGCCTTCCACATGCCAGAAAGTTTGTCCAAAATTGGCCATTGGAATTTATTCATGTCGATGCCGCAGGAGGGAGGAGGGGTACGTCGGAGGAGCATGTGAAGCATCATCATGCAAATCACTCACTCGGAGCCACCTCCTCACCATCATCACCATTGATGCTGTCTGTTGGTCAGCTCTCCGCCAGAGTCCCGCAGCTGGAAAACTTCCCCCCGGTGACAGCTGGAAAAATTACATCAATTTCATAATTATCGTGGGTGGTCGCCTGCCTCCCTCCCTTCGCCTGTTTTCTGACATTTTTATTAAATTTCTTCGTCTGTCCGAACCCCCTCCCAGCGGGGCAGCAACTCGTGTCCGGTGCGAGGCGACTCTGCGCTTTAATTAAAGAGAAATCAAGTGGAGTTTGTCCCTTGTAATATATCAAGATTTCCTTCTCCGCCAATATAACTTTTTGGGTGTGACGAATGTGGGTGGTCCGCAGGGGCATGGTATGGGATTTGATTAATGAATGGAACATGGAAGGCCAAAAGTTGTCCACTTATTGGGAGAGCAATCCAATTAGCAATCCCAACACTCAGCGAAACAATTCCACCATCGGATTCCCCTCTCTGTATCCCCAGTAATACCCATTACCCTCACATATTAGATCATATTTTTCTGCCAAAATAAAATTTTTGTTTTTCTCCGCTTTTATGATTTGTCTTGCGAAAGTTTACGACTGTCTCTCCGCGCTTATTTAAAATTTATGACAGAACATAAACCAAAATCCGCTCTCAGCCGCCCCCAGACGGACTCTCCCTCCCATTATTACAGACAAACGTCAGTGCTGAGAGAGCAAGGAGTGCCTTTCCGTGGCCAAATCATCTCGAATGTTCAACTTTTGGCGCATTTTTAAAGATTTAATCTGTGGCTGTGAGCAAACAATTGGGAAATGTTTTCCAGCGGCAAGGAAAATAAACAAATATGGAACACGAAAACAATTAAGGAAACAGAACCACAAGAACAAAGTCAAAGGAAGAGCACGAGGATGAGAGAGAGAGAGAGAGAGCAGAGTGGGAAGCAAATTAATTAACAATCGAGGCTATGAAAATGCAAGCAAAATGGATAAAATACTGATTGCAGATCTCTTTCTCTCTCTGCTCTTTCGTTAGTTGCAGCTTTTTGTGGCAATAACAACACTGCGGGACGGGCGTGGCAGCAACATGCGTCAGGAAAGGAAAATCAGCCAACAATCAAACGTCTCTTCCGATTTCCACTGTGGGAAAAATCATAAGGAAGACGATATAGAAATGGTTGAACATCTTAGAGTTTAATTATAATTTTTCAACAGTGCGTGGAGTAGTTTACGTTTTATTTGGCGCCGTCAGTGTCGATCCCATCCACCCCTCGCCATCCATCCATCCTCTAGTACCAGAAACGCACCTTCAATTCAGCTTCTTGCAAAAATTGCCGTCTAATATGGCGCAATTGGTTTTCTGTATATCGAAAGCTCTGTTCTTGGGTGCGTTGAATACCGCGAACGGGAATGTTTATAGCATTTGGTTCATGTGCCCCAGCTGGCACCTCTGCTGGCTGTGTGCCGCCCGACGCCACTTCTGCACCGGCTACTGCAAGTTGCATAAAACACCAATTAAACACACACACACACACACACATAGGGACTGAAACATACCTTCTTGTGGATTGCGATTGCCATACTGTTGGGTGGATCCAGATGGGTTTCCTTCGGGCTGAGAATTCATCTTTAGTTAGTCGCTTGAATTTTTCGTCTGTAGTTTGACTTTATAAACAAAATCAGAGGCTGTTGAGTGCTGGAAAACAGCCCAAAAAATGCCTGCTATCAGAGTTGCTCTGGAGAATGAAGTGTTGGGAAACGTCCAAAACTCAGACGCGCCGAATAAGGAAGGGAGGTATATCCAAGGCTTCCAGACTTGGAATATGTTCAGCGATCGATCTGCTGATTTATATTTCCCTTAATCTTTGAGTTGCTTGGACACACAATGCATCTACATTCATTTAGGAATGATTTCAAACAAATATAGGCTTACCCCCATATTTTTTAATGCGTGTAGCAAACATCTAGAACTCCATCATAGGTCTAAATGCAATCCACTCTCCTTCTGCTTCCCCTAGTCGATCCATCCCACCACCAGGGTGATTCTTCGCCTTGGCATACAATGCAACTGTTTGGCAAACTTCTTACGCTCCTCCAGCCAACAGGCTCAAACAGTTTCCATCACAGCTCTCTTCCTCTCTCCCCGACGTTCCCTGGCAATCGGAACCACCCAACCAGGTCAAGTGAAATGTGCTCCACAAACTTTTCTTTGCTTCCCTCTTTGCCTTCCTTTCCTTTCCTTTCGTTCTGTTCCTTATCCACACACTGGCAACATGCATCAAAGGAGGAACACACAATGAGTGCTCCGCCAGCTCAAGAGAAAGTGGAAACTGTGACCCGATTCCTGTGAGCCTCTCCTACTTGGACACGTTCCAATGCAGATGTGTTGGCTGCTCGTGTTTGGACATTGGGGATTTATGCCACGCCTCCACACCACTGAGAAATTTATACAGAAATTCCCAACTTTGCAATGAAATTTTTGACAAATGCTTCCAATTAAGTGGAACAGAGTGTGAGTGGGAGTGGGGGGAGGGAAATCTCCCAGGATCACCCACCGAAAACACAGGGCGCTCACATGGTGTGGCCAGGCATATTGATTCGGATTTGGACTCGGTCTGCCATGGGGATTTGGCCCTAAATGCTTCTCATTTATTTTAACGCCCAGCGAGAGTCGAAAGCCCAAAGCTCATATGTGATACGGGGCGGGGACTGAGGCTGGTGTTTTTGAGCAGTCGGACCTGGGTGCCGCAGGATATATTTCCGACTTGAAGCCGCCGCCGCCGCCTGTGGCGTAAATATCTGATTAGGCTTCTGCCCACGAAGCCTTCTCCGTCTCCTGTTCCTCCTCTCTCATTCTCCTTTTCTAGGCAACCGAACAAAGGAAAGCAAGAAAATGGTGAAAATGAAAATAATCTTGGGCAACATCTGCAGGAGCAAGGGGCGGGGACGCTGCAGGACTTGACTGCTCCCTTTTCGATTGGGGACAAGGTTAAGCATTCGGCAGTAAAGTGGCAACTTATTGTTTGGAATTGCCTGAAATTGTGTTGGCCAAAAGGCTGAACATGGGAAGCTGGAAAATGCTTGAACCTTGAGGTTTTCCTCTGAGAAATTGCCTTGAGTGGAGGATGAAAACTGTTTTCAGGACATATTGAAAATGTTTCGACCCATCAAACAGATAATCTTGGCCTTAAGCTGAACAATTAGTTGCCTTATTGATATCTGTGGTATCTCAGTCTATACCTCTTTCATCCTTTCTCTTCTCTCAGACTCTCTTTTCAGAGCTGTTCACTGGTGGTCTGGAGAGCATCCTCATCATGAGGTGGCTGTGGTTGCTGTGGTCATACTGTTTGCTCCTTCATGTTTTTCCTGCAGCTGACACTCCAGTCCATTCAGGCTTCGTCTCCTCCTGCTCATTGTGTAGCTTCGTAATTGTCCTTGTCCGGCAGGGTCCTGTGTCAGTTATCCTTTTGCTGGTTGTCAGTGTCCTGGCCAGCTTGTTGCTTCTCTCTGTGTGCTTCTCTAATAACTGACGAATATAATTTGCCCTTTTCATGTCTGCAAAAGGAATTTAATTTAGTTTAATTGGCCAAATAGAACATATAATAAAGAGGGCAAAACTAATTGGCAGATGGAGTCCAGCAGAGTGGAAATGGAGAGCTTATTAAAGTTGCATCCTTACGAAAATGCTTTCATTACCAAAAGCTGATTTGCCCGCATGACATTTATTACTTTTTAATGAGCAATTTTCCCCCAAGAGCATGGAAACTTCCGTGTGTCAAAGTAAGACCAAAACCAGAGGAAGGAGCTGCCGAGCAGCCGAGCAGCCAAGCAGCACTCCACGTGGCTGTCATTAGGTTGCCCCGAAAAACCTTGGCCACGCCAAGTAAAACTTGCAACACTTGCACAAACTTTGTAAAGTTGAAACAAGTTCAAAATGAACTCGATAAAATGGCCAAATCATGGGCCCCATCCAAGACACTCTCGGCCAGATTAGTGCAGAAGTCATAAAGGCAAACGATGGCTAAATAAAAATGGTAAATGCGAGTTGCCAACTCATGCAAACGTTTTGTCAGCGTCAGTGGCCGAAACTTGCTTGCCTTTAAAATTATGTCTCGGCGCCTCAGGCCTGTGGTTAGGCGAGTGCTGGTGGCAGTGGCATGCCCCGCAACAGCACGCTGCAACATGGCCAGCAGCAACTAGGCTCCAAGTCAGGCCTGTGGTCGGGCCCGAGCCTTGATTCTTGAGGAACTTTCAGCGAGGCCAAACTTCCACTGCAGTGGAAGGAAACTTCAGTTTTGTCAACATGTTGCGGCTGGCAGAATTTCTACAAGAGACAACAAAAAAAAACAAACAAAAAACTTTTAGCAAAGTGTGGAGTAACATTTGGATTACATTTTTAACAAGAGATGAAAAGGGCAAATGGAATTAAAGTGATGTGAGTTTAACAGAATTATATTTGGTTTTAACTTAATTACGCACAGCTGAAATTTCTTAGCTACAAAAATGTATATGGACTTGCAGCTAAAACTAATTTGTTCTGCATAATATACATACATAAAAACATCATCTTTCCAACATTTCATGAAGGTAATACAAGTTATGTAAAATAGACAAAAGGACAGTCGAAAGTGTGGCCTCAAGAGGATTAGTTACAGTCCCTTAAAGATCTTAGAATATTTTGCCTATTAAAAGTGTACAATATTTTTATATTTGTTTTTAATTCTATATAAAAGGCACACACAATTTTTTAAATAAAGGCAGCATAGAAATTGATTGTCTTATAATTATTTTATCAGATTTAACGAAAAGAAAGTTGAATTTTCATGACGTTCATTCGACTTTTTCAATACTTTTTCAATATATATACAAAGATAAATAGAAAATGTTAGCAATATACACACATTTGTATGTACCTCAGGGAAAGAAGTACATACATATGTTTGTAGAATAAAATATATTTCTTAAATCTATTCATAATTTAAACAAACACTAATGCTCGAATAAAACTGTTGCCAAAATCAATCAATATAAATCAATTCCAATTTCGTATATCTTAAATCCAGTTTGAAAACATTTTTATTATTGTCGATAAACTGTGAATGCATTTTGGGCTAAGCGACGCTCAACAGAATAAACTGAAATCTTTTGTGCCAAACATTTCCATGGGGCGGGAAAATCCTTTTCTCTATTGCGCACACAATATAAACTAACAATTCTCTCTGAATCGCTTTTTGTTTTGTGGGATTTCCTTTTTAGCTGAAAGCGTTCGCAATAATCCTTTGTGCATATCCGAGGCAAACAAAACTAATTTCGTATTTGTTTTTCCGAGCTTTTGCTTGCAGCCAGGATTTGCGCACCCTTTCACGAAGAGAGAGAGACAGAGAGAGAGAGAGTGGGCCACCATAAGTGAAGTTGGTAAATAAATCATTTTATGCAACTGCAAATGGAGTTTGTAATGCAAATCCTTTTTGCCAAGCTAAAGGGGGATTTTTGCCAAGGCTCCTCAAGCCCTATTCCCTTTTTCCCCTCACGTATCCCTGTGGCTGTGGCAGTGGCAATTGGAGCACTAAAGAGACCGCGGGGAGAAATTAAGACAATTGTCGATCCGCTTCGACGCTTCCACGCAGCCGGAAAAATGCTGCTCCCAGTCGACTTCCATTTCCACTTCCACTTTGAGACATCGCCAGTTGCATGCGAAATGAAGCTCTTGCTCCATGGCTAATTGGGGGATAGACCAAACGCCAAACGGCAAACGCCAAACTCAAGTCTCACCAATGCGATTAGCTGCAATGAAAGTTTAAAGTTGTTGAAACTTTTAATCCAAGCAGCACTACGCAAAAACTTCTGCCAAAGACAAAAAAAAAAAATCGACTTTGCATCGAAATATACATAAATAAATAGGGGACAAAATGGACTTCAAAAATTGCTGGGCAATTTTCAGCTTGAAAAGTTTGCAGTTTGAAGTGCAGAAATAACTAGCGACTAAATATTCAGAGGACTACGCAGCTGCGGGTGTACAGGGTGTTCAAGCAAATTTATGTACCCAATGATCTTTAAGAGAACAGTCCAATAATATTAAATTTGTATGCCAAAAGGTTCTCAAAAAGTACCCCAACTTGAAGCGCAGAAGACAGTCAAGTTTGGGATAAAACATTATAATAAATTCCAACATCATTTTCAGCTCTCAATGTATTCAACAGCAGATTGAATATCTCATTGCCTGCTTTGTGAAGCCACCCACTCGGACGTGCCCCTGCAACCTCATGAATATCTCAACGATTTGCCACAAGTAAAAGAAAAAAAAGAACAACTCAACGCATCGCATGACAGAGTTTTCTTTCAGCCCCGAAGGCAGTCATGGCAACTAATCCAATAAGTTCCACTTGCACTATCCTAATGAGCCATTTTATTTGCCTAACCCTCGCCCAGTCAACCCCATGGAACTGCCAGGAGACCCATCTGAGCTATCCCCCTATCCACATCC